GCAGCTGCTGCCCTGCTAATTGCTTGTTCCCCCGGTGGTATTTCTCCACCGCGCTGTTCTCATAGCCTGCGTATGGCAGTTGCTGCTGACTGTAGTACTCCTTCGCCACCAGCCTCTGCCGCTCGCAGTTCGGCCCTGCCTGACTTTGATGCCTGTAATTCTCCAGGCGTGATGTATCTTGTGAAGTCGGCTGGTAGCTCTGCTGGTTGCCATGGAAACCACACCTTTCTCGAAAGGACTGCATGGCGCGGGCTCGTTATCTGCGAAGAGAGAGAGGCGAGAATTCAAATGAAGCATCGGCCACCGCGGCAGGGCCAGGGAGCGCGGCCGTGCATGGAGAGGGGCCGCATCGCTGGCACCGTAGGGACATCACCTCGGCTGCTGGGGCATCACCCTGCTGGTGCTGCCCTGCCTGCCCAGTGCCCTGCAGCACAGCCCCTGGCGCTGCACGGCCTCGCATCACCCTGCAGTGCACTGCTTTGCGCTGCATCGCCCTGTGGCACGTTGTATTGCCCTGCACCAACCCAGCAACGTGTGGCTTTGCATCACACTGCCCTGCATCACACTGCCCTGCATCACACATGTCACCCTGCATCACATCACATCGTCCTGCATTGCACTGCACTGCTTTGCACTGCATTGCTCTGCATTGCCCTGCCTTGCATCACCCGCCCTTGCATGGCTTTGTACTGCCCTACCTCATGTCACCTGGCATTGCCTCCCCCTATGTCCCCTCACCTTGCCCTGCACTGCCCTAGGTCACAGCAGCTGGCTACATGTTGCCGCGTCCCGCATGGCAGCGTTGTCTTGCATCACGTCCTTGCATCACCCCGCTCTACAACAGGGTGGCTGCAGGCTGGGGCCCTGGGGGTCTCCAAGTCTCCCTTCAGCTGAGATCTTTCCCAGCTCTGCTGCCCACCCTAGCTCTGCAGGGTAAGAAAACCCCCTCCCTACCTGCCCAACACGTCTCTGGGACCCACTGAACCATGTCAGGGTCTCCCAGCTGTGGTGCTCTCACCCTTCATCCTCGCATGCCCTCCCCAGGAACACTGGGAACTCACCGGCCCCTCCCAACACCCTGCTTATCACCATTCTGTTTTAATTATTAGACTAATTACTGGAATCAGCAGTGTGGAGGGCAAGAACTGCAGGCTCTGCTGCAAAAAAAAGTCATTTCAACTTGCTGGCTCTGCCCATCTCTGCCTGCTGCTGCCTCCTGCAGCCCCCAGCCGATCCCCCCCAGCCCCAGTGTGATCCCATCTGGAAGCTGCCTTCCCATCATTGGCATTAAACACCCTAATTTCCCAGACCCACTTGTAATAGGTGCAGGGAAACACCTGGGTCACCAATTTGAGCTTGGAAGCAGCTGAGTGGCTTGAGTGGGTTAATGAAGGGACTGGTTACAGCAGGGACACATCCTGCTTATCTCCAGCACCTGTGGGTCAGAAGCACGGAGGTGAACATGAGCCTGTTTTGGCAGTGGTTTGAGATCTGGGAGCCTCAAGGGCCTGCAGATCCCTGGGGGCTTCCCCAGTGCTGCTCCCTTGGCACTGTGCCATGGTGGTGACCCTGCTGCTGTCCCCTCTGCCTTCATTAAGGCGATGAGTGTAACAAGGAGGACAAGACTACCCATTTCAGCCCAGCACTGTGTCCTCCCTATCCCCCATCACCTCACAGGCTGCACGGGCTGTGGTTAGAGCCCAGACCCCCAAGGAAAAGACAGGCCAAAGAAAAATCTGGTGAGGACAGCATGAAAGCCCCTACCTGGCGTGGTGCTGCCCTGTCCTGTGCTGGGGCTGCTGGAACAAAGGCAGCAAAATCAAAGCCAGGCCTCTGGGGCAGCCCTGGGGCAGCAGCGAGAAAATTAAAGGCAGAAAAGGGCCCCTTGCTCCACGTGGAAGCAGGTTTGAAAAATGAAATCAGCTTGAGAAGACCCTGGGCTGGTGCTTAAAAGGGGAGCTTTTTTCCCCCTCTCTTTGTCTTTTATTATTAATTATCATTATTAGTTAATTATTGTTCATTTTCCAAACAGCTGGGACAATGCCAGGCTGAGCAGAAGCACCTGATGCAAGGGGATGGGTCACCCACTGGCCTGCAGAGCTGTGCACACCCACGGGGTTTGCACACTTGCAGGCTGTGCTTGCACGTGGGGTGTGCAGCACTGTGCACACAGGCTGTGTGCGTGGGTGTGGGTGGGAGGAAGCCCTGGGGCAGGACCAGGCCATGGCTGTGCCTGTAAGATACCCCTTGTGTCCCAGTGCCTGGCAAGGCTGCGGCTCATCCTGCACCCTGGGCATCTTCTCACAGGGGTCACAGGGGTTGGGTGAGGCAGAAGTGCAGCTGGGATGCCTGTTCCTTCCCCATCTGATCCCATCCAAAGTCCTATGCTGAGCAAGGCACCTTGTCTGGAGCCCCCATCTCCCTGCAGGCCACGGGCATTGAGGCAGTGTCAGGGGACAGATGCTGCCATTGGGGGCCAGGAGGGGGATACACTCATTACCAGCAGCACCCTGGGCTCTGCTGTGGCTTTGCTGAGAAGGGCTCTAACAGATGTCACCTCCTGTTCCGAGCAAACGCTTTCATGGCATCAAATCAAGCTGTCGACAGCAGCAAGGTTATGGCTCTTCCCGCATCCCAGGGGCCTTGCACACTCACTCCCCCCGCCGGACATGCTCTCCCAGCTCCAAAGATGTTTCCAGCCTGGCTCCTTCCGTCCCCACCCCGGGAATCAATACAGGACTGTCAGCACATGGCTGCAGCCAGACACTCACCCTCAGGGGCCTGGCAAAGCCTCCATGGCTGCAGGCAGGGCTTGTGGCAAGGGTCTCCAGGAAGGGTCCCCAGGGCATCAGTCGGAAGAGGCGGGGACATGGGGCCATTATGGTGCCTGCAGACAGCGTGATCCTGTCCCCACAACTCAAGGAGCCACACTCACCTCTGGCTATGGCCACCCCTGGAGCATCCCTTGGTCCCCAGAGACTTGTGGACAACCCAGCTGGCCCCACAGCTGCCAGCACAGCCCCAGCGTCACCATTCGGGGACATGCCAGGACCTCCTGCCCCTCCCAGCACCAGTGCATGACCCAGGACCTTGCTGCAGTGCACCAGGCCAGGCTGCAGAAGTGGGGCTGACCCGGTGCCAGGGACTGGTGCTGGGAGCTGAGCCGGGGCACCTGCGGCACTGCCAGGCCAGCACAGCCTGCCTGCTGCTGGGGAGGTTTTGTGCTGTGTGGCTGGGTTTGGTGTTATTTTCCTCCCCCCTCCATCCCTCCTTCTTTCCCTGCCTTCCCCCCATTCCTCCCCCTTCCCCTTGGCTGGCAGGGACACAGCAAGGCAGGATCCAGAGCTCTCTGAAGGCAGCCCAGGACTTTCCATGGAAGGGGACCCTCGGTAAGCACCCAAGACCCTTGACACTTTGGTGCCAGGGGCAGTGGGCATGTTCAGGGGCAGTGGGCTTCCTCAGAGTTTGGGGGCATCCTCAGGGGCAGGGGGCATCCCCTGCCCCCCTCATCCAGGCCTCACATCCCAGCTGCTGCTCATCCCACAGGGCCTGATCCGGCGCCCCCAGCCCGGCTGCTCCTCCTGCTGCTCCTTCACCGCCGCGCCATCAACAAGGGCTCAGCAACTAAAAATAGCAGCAGGG